TCCCTCCCTCTAATTGTTCTTCTCTGGCAAGCACACATACTTATAACAAAACAAAACAGAAACTTGAAAAGGAAAGAAAATAGAGGTTGGAAAACTCAAAGGAACCCCTACCCCTGACTTTCCAGCCCTCCACCCCCAGTCTCCTTACTGCCCTTGACTATCCTCTCTGCTTTAACATTGCAAGATGCCAGTGGTTCCATGGAGGCCTAGAAGTAGGGCTTCCCTTTTATAGTTTCTTCAGCTTATAAATTTCTGTCCTTTCAGGATCTTATAAAGAAGAACACTAATATGCCCAAAATTGGGAGTGAAGCTAGCTCTGTGGTCCTGCAAGGACTAGATAAAATATCCTTGGTGTAATCGATGAAATGGGCCCTCCGTTAGAAGAAAATAGCATTCTTGTGCTTTCTTGCCCACCTTATTCCTAGGAGTCCTGGAGCTGTTTCCAAAGAGAGAACACAGAACACTCGCACCACTCTGTCTTTGCTTTTACTCTGGGGAAGTTAGTTATTTATACCTTTCAAACTGTTATTTACACAGATTCTCATTGCTTTCTTTATGCTTTGTGTTGTCATCGTCTTTGTCAGGCAACCTTAGAGATGATCCAGGGAAAATATGAGAAGAGAAAGGGAAGATAATGGTGGTCATTGAGTAGTCAATGTGTAATAATTATGTTTTGTGGTAAAAGATGAGAATAACATAAAACAGAAGTAGTTTCCATTTTGAAAAACATGTCAATAGCTGACAAACTGTATCAAAATCTTTATTTCTAGTCTTGCTCGTAAAGAAATTTTAAATTCTGTAGGCTTAATAAGGGGCACTAGGTTTTAAAATTAAGCCCTTTTTAAACCATCAATAATAGATGTGCCTTGTATTCATGATTTTAGTTAGAGAAACGAGCTGTGATGGACTGGAGCAAAGTTGTGGCTAAATTATGCTTTTCATTTTCTTCTAGATGTGATATAAAGATCAAATTTAGGAAATCTCTCTTTTTTACATAACATTATTGTGTATATTGTGTACTTCTATACCATCACTAGAAACTTCTTTTATAATATAAAGAAAGATTGGCCAAAATTTTACCCATATTTTAAATGCTAGTTATGTGCTCTGTTATTTGGATGTAAAAGCTTGAGATTCTTGATATTAAATTGGCAAATTAATTCTTGGCAGCCTCATAGTTTGGTTTGGCCAGAATTCTTTCAATAACCATTTCCAAGAGTAGAAGAAGTGAAAGAGTCTTGAGAACGAGTATATATATATATATATATATATATATATATATATATATATATATACACAAAAAAAAATGAAGTGAGTTTTATTAGATGATACAGTTATAATATTCTAGAAACTACTCAGTGCTCTCTCTATTATATATTGAGATATACTAAAAATAAAAAGAAACAAAGCTCATGAGGTGTTCTATTGGGTTGTGGGGGATGTCTTGACGAATTTTCGCATAGAAAAACATGTCATGACTTTCCCAATGACCTAATAAGTAAAAGTCAAGTGAGTAAGTGAAGCCAGGCAAACAAATCAATTTGAGAGAAAAAGAATGAATCTTTCTTTGCCATTTAAATATCCATTAACCCCTATCTTTAGTTGTAGAAAAAAGGAGAAAATATTTGTACTGATTTTAAAAGGAGCATTTTTAATGGTCATTTTTTCCCCCCACAGAGCCCACCTGAATGACCTTGAAAATATTGTTCCATTTCTTGGTATCGGCCTTCTGTATTCCTTGAGTGGTCCAGATCCCTCTACAGCCATCCTGCACTTCAGACTCTTTGTTGGAGCACGGATCTACCACACAATGGCATATTTGGCACCCCTTCCCCAGCCAAATAGAGCTTTGGGTTTTTTTATTGGGTATGGAGTTACTTTTTCAATGGCTTACTCCTTGCTGAAGAATAGATTATACCTATGAGGAGAATCATCCAATTGGCTTACAAAAATTCAGTGCTTCAAGTTGATAATGAATATATTCGTAGATGTTAGGTGGGAAGGAAGCAGAGATACGAAGACCTGAGGAAAATCTGTTTTGAATGTGTCACTAGTGCATATTCTTTATTCTAGTTTTGGATTTACATTAAAAATTTGACATACTAATTCACAAGTCTCTGGTCTTTTTCCTTAAGTACTTTTATAAATTTTGACTATGTTATAATTTGTAACCTTCCTTTGAAGGAGTGATTATATGTAGGAGAAACCTATATGTCAGTACTGTGAAAATGGGCATATGAAATAAAGAAGTAAAAGAAAACTTTTGTTTGGTTTAATTTTTCAAAAATTTTTTTGAAAGTTTCAAAGCCCTGGAAAAGTTGAAAACTAGTATAGAAAACCTCTACATACCTTCACCTGGATTTACCAATTGTTTTCGCATTTGTCATATTTGCTTTAGCTCTTAGTCTCTCTGTGTTTAATTTTAATTTTTTTTCCTGCTCAATTAAAAGTAAGTTGCAGATAACCTGATATTTTATTCCTTTGTATTTCAACATATTTCATTTATGAACAAATAATCTGCAAATAAATATCTCCAATTTCCCTAACAGTAGCCTTTATAATTGCTTTATTTTTGATTCAGAAATGAAATAAAGAACACGCATAGCCTTAGTACCATTTTTATTTAGTTTTCATTAAGATGGAGGAGTTCCTTAACTTTGTTGTTTTTTGTGACATTGGCATTTTTTTTAGCATAGGCCATTTGTTTTATGAATTAAATCCTTAATCTGGATTAATTTTACATGTTGTTTTCTCATTCTTAGATTCAGATGAAATATTTTTGGTGATGTCTTTTACATTACCATATGTCTAATATTAGTGATATTAGATATGATCAACTTAGTAAGGTAATACCAACCTCATTTAAAAAATATTTATTTAATTGTATTTATTTATTTATTTTTAATTTGACCACAGAGAAACAGAGAGAAAGGGAGAAAGAGAGAAAGCAAGCCACCAGGTCTAGGACACCATGGTCAACCATATGGGAGTTCAGTGCCCCAACCACCACACCACCTGCTGATCCCCTAACTGCCTTTTTTATTGTGAAGATATATTTCTTTTTTGGTAAGCACATGGTAAAAATTGTGATGTTGTGTATCTTTTCCTAATGTTAAGTGACTTTGCATATGGTGAATTTTGGCTTTAGGAAATTTTTGTGGTGTAATTAATGGAAAAGACTAAAGCTCAGAAATGAGAAGTTCAAACTCCAGGAATTAGACCTACTAGTATAACACCAACCCCCCCCCCCCAACACCCCCCCACACTATTCCCTTCAAATTGATTCATAAAATTAACCAGCATAGCATATATTGTGGACTAGAACAATTAAGTAAATGGAGGGCAACTGATTTACTCTGATTTGCAGTTTCCTCTAACTTTATGAAAGTTTTTGAAGGTCACATATTTTATGTATGTGAAGCATATGAAAAATGTATGTCTTAAGCAATTAAATGTTCTCTACGTGAAAATTATTTGAATAATCCATCAATCATATAGATTTAGTTAGCTGAGTTTTTTCTAACTTTGGGTAAGATTTTTGCTTAACTATTGTCACTTATTTCATTGCTTTTTTTTTTTTTCATTTCTGTTTCCCTGATAATACTCAGAGTAGTAGCAGACTGAATCGTGGTTATTGTAATGGCTATGCATTTAGCTACTGATATTTGGTGCACGTTACTGGACAATTGTATTAGGATTTTCCAGAAAAATAGAACAAGAGGATTTATACACACACACACACACACACACATATATACACACACACACACATATATATACACAAGTAGAAGAATGGATTTATTACAGGAATTATCTCATATGGTCACAAGGTAGAGAAATCTCACAGTAGGCTGTCTGCAAGCTGGAGAAATAGCCGAAAGACTTGGAAGCAATGCTGTTCCAATCCAAGGAGAAAGGGGACACTTGGGAAGTCACTGTTATGAGTCCAGAGTCCAAAGGTCAGGGAAGTTTGAGTGTGTGGCTGGAGAGCACTGAGTTCAAGATTGGTAGGTGTAAGTTAAGGACTAAGTCAAGGAGAATGGATGGGGCAGATAGATGAATGGGAGCAAAATAGCACCCTCTGGAAGGAAGGGTCAAGAAAGAGGGAAGAAGAAAGAAAACAGAAACTCCACTTTCTCTGTCCCTTCCACATTCCCAGCTGACTGGATGGTGCCCATCTACATTGAAGCTAGGTCTTCCTCAGCCCACTGACCTACACACCATTCATGTCTGATGATATTCTCATGGACACACCTAGAAGCATTGTTTTAACATTCATCCATGCATCTTTTCATCTAGTCATACTGACACCCCAAATTAACCATCGTAACAATTAGGAAAAAAAGAAAAAGGACATTTAGGGGCTAGTGGCATAGCAATAACCAATCCTTTGTGAGATTGACCTACAAAATGAACTTTGGAAAAGTTCTAAATAAAAGTCTGGAGATCTCCCTGAACATGGTCTGTGCATGCATGTCCATGATCTAGGCAGGCTGAAGATAGAGGTAGATTACAGTGTAAGAAGCCTGTTGGGAGTGACTCACTCTCTCTCTTCCCCGCCTCAGAAGAAAGGAAGAAATAAACTTTTTAAAACATTTAAATTTTATATTCTCAGAGATATGAGAACTTTATGTATGTATGTGCAGAACATGCTTAATGAATAATAGAAAAGTCTAGGGATTACCTGTCTCAGTTTTCTAATTTCAATAAAAGTTGTAAAAACAACCTAGAAAGGTTTCTAACTATATTTTCATCCACAAGAGAAGTTTTAGATGTTGCAGGATTTGTTAAGAAAATTGCTTTTATAATATAAAGGAGGACGGCTGAAGAGGAAGGCTAGCCATTGGTCTAGTGTCTTCTGCACCAAGGAATATGACAAAATTGGCTGTGGAGTAAAGTCTGTGCTAAGTGTCTTTTTAACCTATCATAGGATATAGGTGGAATTGCATGGCTCTGTTAATACTGTTACTAATGAGGAATGTGATGGCTATGTTCATGTCTCTGCTTTTTAGAATTCTTATTTAGAAAGCAGATTGTATCTTATTTATCTTTGTATCTGCATCCATATTCACACACACACATACACACACAATCACCTTCATAATCAGTTCTAGTATGTATGTTTAGTAATAAGGTAACTTGGTTACTTCTTCAAATGTCACCCTCTCCCTCACTCATGCCTTTCTCCTTACCTACCTCAAACCAACTCAGTCACAAGGAAGTCCTGATTCTTTTCAGGAATCAAGTTATTTATCTGTACCTCTTACAGAGGCATCATCTAGAGCAGTGATGGGAGTTTTGAGGGGAGAGTTCTGTGACTCAAATGAGACAAGAGTTGGACTGATTTTATTGTAACCTCTGTAGCAAGGGTAAATGTCTGCATTATATAGAATAAAAACCATCTTGTCATACAATATCAGATAAAGTAAAATCTTAATAGGTGTAAGATGCACTGATAGTCATCTTCAGCATATTGAAGTATGGAGACAGGTCATGAGATTTTCATGTATATTGAAATACTCTGTAGTTTAAACAAAGTTGAGGAAACCTGTCTAATCACTGACAAATGTATGAGTTCTTCTATTTTAAAGGCTGAGAGACTTACTCTTTCAGGGCACAGGTGTGATTAGGCCCTGAGAGGCAGATTCATAAAAAAACTAAATATAAATGAGACTGGAGTAGAAATTCAGAATAGCAGGAAATGAATGGAAACAGACTTGTAACTGTCCCATGGCCTGGTTGTCTGAATCCCAGGAATCACTTCATTCTGCCTCTGTGGTCAAAATGTCCTGGAAGTGGAATCATAAGAGAAGCATTGTTGGTTCTCTCTGTGAGAACAGTGCTCAAGATACCAGAGTACCATGTGACTGGTGAGTGTGGTTTTAGCCTGAAAAGAGCTAGAAGAGTCAAATATCAAAGGCATAAGACTAAGATAATCTGTCACATCCAATATGAGATAGAGATGACCTCATGGAACCAAAAATATGGTCTATTAGCTACAGCACCCCACGTTCATCTCCACATTTGGAATGGCCTTGGAATTGGATTAGCAAGACCAAGTCAGATGACATGAGCCCTCACCTCAGGGAGCGCCTAAACACACAGAGTCAGTCCTTCTCTTTGCATTCTTCTGTGTCCTTGACTATAAAATCACTCTTCTAATGGAAACACTCTTACTTTGACCATGTTATAACACATGGCTACCTCTTGGGTTTTACTAACCAAGAAACCATTGACTTGGCATGTCTATGTTGTCGTGTCTAGCAAGGAAGTCAATAATCAAAGGAAACTTCTATAACCTCTGATCCCTAGTTATTATGGTGACGCCTTAAAACCCCTAGTCACAATGAACAGCTCTCTTCCAGATACAACATTCAATGATTTCCAGATCAGACATTTCTCCAGGTCATGAGGAGAAGGGCATGGAGGTTCTGGCACCCAAAGCTATACCCTTCAATGCAAAAAGCCCAGTCCTAGATCTTGCATGAATTTTATAAACCATTCACCTGAGGGCTCTATTTTATAAATACAAAATAACAACAAAAAAAGTTTTTTGAGTTGCATATCTGCATCACACTGACTCTTCTTCGCAGAGGCAGATGGTGAGAAGTGAGGCAATTTGCCTTGGGAGTCTCTACATTCCATTTAGAAACAGCAGCACAAAAAATCCTATGATCATCTCCCCCACTGCCAGTCTGAAATGTCAGCCCTGTGGGAAGCTGATAGGTGTTCCTGCTATCAGCCGAAGCAGCACCTCTACTTCTGTAACTTTCAGGGTACTTTATTCACCATATATTCTATGTAAACTGTTGGATTTGACAAGGAGGAGTTGTCGAAGGCAGACTACTGGGAAGGGGCTGTGTTTGGGTTGAATTTGGCACCAATCTCTCATCCCTGACAGCTCAAGTACAAGACTGTGGATGAGCTATAGGACCTGTGAGCCTCCTCAGTCAGCGGCACAGGCCCTAAGTCGCATTTAATTCAGAAAGCCCTGACAGCCCTGCATAAAATGTGAGCTGTAAAATGGAGAGATAGGAGCTGTGTGCAAGAGTAGGCCATTTAAGTTACTTCCTCTTACTAGAGTGTTGGAAAATATGAACCAGAACAATATAG